TATTATTCTGCATACATTTGACTTAGTTAAGAAAGAACTAGCCTCCCTGCCTAACTTACTAAACTGAAGGAATTTCTTAAGGCTTCATCTCCTTGCTATGTTCTGCTTCTTGAACACCTTCCCTTTTTTCCCTTTCATGTAGAAAACATAATTGATTGGCCTCAATTCCTGAAAGTTTTATTCCACTTTATCTAGTATACTCTTAAACTAGTTTTATATTTACTCAAATTGAATTTTAAAATGAGCAAAGTGGCTAAATGTGGACAGAAGCAGGAAATTTCTGTGACTTCCAGACCAGCCTACATAGCAAGCTTCAGGACAGCCAAAATTACATAGAAAGACCCTATCTCAAAAGAAGACAAGTCAAGAAGAAAGGAAAAGAGAAGAAAAGAAAAAAGAAAAGAAAAGAAAAGGGGCTGGCAAAAATAGCCCCGTATTTCAGAGCATGTACTGTTATTGCAAAGGACTCGAGTTTAGTTCACAGCATCAATGTGGGGTGGTTTGTAATCACCTGTAAATCCAGCTCCAGGGGACTCTGCAGGCATCTGATACAGAAATGTACATAATTAGACATAATAAAAATAAGCCCTTTTAAAAGAGAAGGAATAAATGGTGGCTCACAACTAATCCTAGCACTGGAGTGGCAGAAGCTGGGGAATTGCCTTTGGTTTAGCCCAGTTTGGTCTATATCATAAATCTAAAGCAGTCTTATCTCAAAAAAAAGTTTTAACAAGCAAAATACTTGGCTTTTCCAAAGCATATACACAAGCAGCTGATAAGCACACAGAAAAAATGCTCACAATCATTAGCCATGGGGAAATGCAAATGGAAACCATAAGTACTTCAAATCCATTGGGCTGATAAAATCTTTAAACTGTAAAATATGTGTTGTCAAAGATAAGAATAACTGGAATTTTTGCATGTTCATGGCAACCTTTTAAAATATTGCGACTCCTGATTCCTCAAAAAAATATAGAATTAGCATATGAATCTTCCACTTCTAGATTTATATAAAATATTGGAATTAGGGACTCACTCAGATAATTATACATACACATTTATAGCAGCATAATTCTAAATAACCTAGAGATAGCAGAAGCAAAAGTATGTATGAATAAACAAAATGTTCTGTATACACAGAATGCAATGCTTTTGAACTGTCAAAAGGAATGTAAGCCCAACACACGTAGTATCACTCATGAGTCATGAAGACACTCTACTGAATAATGTAACCATGGCACACAAATGGACACATGGGGTCTGATTCCACCTATTCCACTAAACTATTCAGAGTAGTAAAATTGACAGAAAGGCTGCAAAACCATGGTTACCAGATCTGAGTTTTCAAATTGTTGTGTGACTTGAGGTTTATTCTTAAAAGCAAATGAAATGAATTAGATTGGTGTGAAGTTATACCTTTAATCCCAACATTCAGGAAGCAGAGGGTAGCAGAATAATCCTTCTGAGTTTAGGCCAGCCTGGTCTATGTAATTGAGTTGCAGGTTAGCCTGGTCTATCTACATAAGCAAGTTGCAGGCCAGCCAGGTCTACTTAGTGAGACTGTTTCCAAAAATTAATTACATAAAATGAGTTGCTTAGATTTTTCTTTTAGATTTTTATTTGAATCCATCCATACTAGCAGCTAATGTTAAATGCCAATAGAATTGTTAAATGTTTTCATATCGAACCTGCATTTACAATAAAAAAAAATCAAAAAGTAGTACTCAAAGCTATTTTCTGACATGGAATGCTTAAACAGAAACTACCTCAATTTAAAAGTACAAAAGGCAGTTTGTCGTTGGAAAGACTTGGCATAACTAATGAGGAGGGAAAAACACAGTGTCACCTGAGAGTATTATAACCATTTAATTCAGAATGTGCAATAATCAATCGTATTGTTGAAGTTTCATTCTCTACCTGGAAATCAAACACAGAGCTTCATGCATGTAACTTAGGCGCTGTACCAACCAAGTTCCATCCCTAGACTAGAACAGATTAATTTAAAATAATTAGCTATGATTTTAAAAAATCATAAGAGACCATTATTTGGGGCTGGCATCTTGTACTAGACCCTAACAAACCAGACTAAAATTCAAAATGGAGTTATTCATGCTGTAATGAGCTGTCACCAAACTAAAACTATTCTATTAGTCTGACCCTTTGTGAAATCGGGAATATGATAGCCATCAAGTTAAGCAGGCCGTTTTCATTCCATACAATGACATTTCCTGTGCTTTAAACTGAAGGAATCTGATATTAAGCTATAAGTTATTTTTCTGTCGTCTGACTCACTATCCTGACTTTACAAGGAAAAGTACTTTGCAATGACTTCATCTATTTTTGTTCTGATTCTTCTTTATTCGGTTCTTCTCTGTCCATAAAACCAACTCTGCACTGCCCAGGGAGACATTTATTCTATTTTATTGAAGAAAGTGTCATTTAATTCTTCAATTACAAAGTGAAGCCAACTGTAACCCTTCAATAAATGTATTGTTATTCCCCTTTTTATCAAAGCAGTTTATATTTTCAACATTATATTAAATGCCTATTATTAATCACAAACGACTGTTCCAAATCTCCTTATGAAAATCTCCAGAGGTCAGCCAGGGCAATGTAGAGAATAAAGTAAAATGTCTTCTGAAGGTGTGACAAAGAAGGCAGGGAAGCCAGAGATTCCTGTGGATACTCTCTGTCCTACTGTCCACGAACAAGCAAAGGATCTAGGAATTGACGTGGAGCACAAAGATGAGGAAAATTCCCAGGAAATCTAAAACAAACTAAGAAGAGATGAACTGTTTGGAGAAAACACAATCTTTGGGGATCCAAAGAAGAAATATTACATTGTATTTTTGTTGCCTTCCATCCAACAATTACCTCTCATGCTACTCTTGGACCTTAACATCCCAGAGCTAATAAATAGCTGTTGAATAAATGCAAGTTCAACCCTCCTCATGGGAGAGCCCGCTCTGGCATGTCCTTAACATAATTCATGTTTCCCAGAATCCTTCTGAACCTGGTCAAGATTTGCTCTTCAGTGTGATTTATTCTCACCTAGAAACTCTCATCAAACTTTCTTGCTCAATTACTCTAATAACGATGTCAATGACTGGTAGTGATTTCATTTGTTAGTCCTACCAGATTACACAATTAAATTTCTGAGGGACTGCTGAAACTTCAGACATTTTTTTCTCCTAAATTGTTTCATTCCTTTTCTCATGTGAATCCATAAATTCAGTGATGGAGTTTTTACATCACCAATACAACAAGTATACAAGACCAGCTTATTTGTGGAAAAGCCACTTTTAGAAAGGTCTTACTATTTATCTGAAAGGACAAAACTAACATATAGGAAAATGCAAACTAGAGAACCAAAGTATAGGACTGCCTTGCTGGGTTAATTATGCAGAACTCTACATGGTGATCTGACACTGTTTATCTGAGACAGCTGAACTCAGGAAAAGAATTAAAGTAGTATCTTCAATGTATGTGACAATGACACTGGTTTCAGTGGCAGTTTCAATGATACGCTGTCACAACACATCCATAGCCATGGTACATACATTCATAAATCTCAGGAATAGAAAATTGTCCTGGTGGTGAGGATGCAATCTGGATAGACTACCTGTATAAAGATCTGCTTTGCCAATACTTCTTTACAACTGGCCTCCTTTGTTTCTCTGTAAACCCATTGGACAGATTGTTAAAAATTGATGGTGTATTCATTAATTCTACATCTAATATTTATATGATAAAGTTCAACAACTGCATAAAAACACTTTCCTTAGATTGCAACTTTGAAATTATGATTTAGGAATAAAATTTTTCAGAAGATGCTCTACAGTAAGTACTTCTGAGAGCAATGACACTCAATCAGTGACAAAAGAGGGTGGATACTGTTAAGAATAAAAGATACACACACACCACACATACACACAATTATCTGTTAAAATTTTCTTTATACTTCTGAATTAAAGAGACATAAAGGGAAACGATGTATGCATCCCTCACAAACAGGGCAGAACTGAAATCATTCTAATTTTCTTTTTCAAACAACTTCAATTTCTATCCAGTTTAAGTTAAAGGTATTTCCATACTACTTTCCTCTTTTATATTCTCTATGATGACACTGAATATCGTGCCTTTCATTAGAAGGCAAAGTTTAGCACATACTTTTCCATTTATTCATTTGTTCTAGAAATCCCAATACATGAGAAATTTCTGGTATGAAGTAAAACTTTCCTAACCTTTAATTCTTTCAAAAAGTTTATAATACTACCTTTGAAATCAGAAACACTATAAGGTTATTTTTCACTACAAGACTGGTTTAAAACAAACCACCAGTTTGCATTAGATGAAGATAAGATACTGACCAGAAGTCAGGGAATATTGTTGGAGTAGATTTTCCCCCAAGGGATATAAAAGATGAGATAAAATAACCAGCCTGCCCCTCCAACTGATAAAAGTAGTCAAGTGATACTAGATGTATAAAAGAATACTCACAGAATTAATGTGCATTGTTTCTTCTAGTAACTTCGAGGGCCTTGTTTTCTGAAATAAGAACACATTGTGTGATGTTAGTTGTAGTTTTCCATCACAGGCTTCCTATTAAACCCCTCATCCTACCCATGCTCACATGCCATACCCTTCCTGGCATACTTTCTTCTCTGACATTTGTCAATGTAAACATTGCCATGCATCTGTTTTTGTTGCTTCTTTTACTTTTTGATGCACAAAAATGTCAGATCCATGAAAACACATTCATCACTATTATGATGATAATTTAAACATATCCCTTATAATTCATTTCCTTATCTACAAATGTAAATTTAATAATACAAACTTAATGTTACAAATAGTACAAATTTAATGTTACACTAACACAACAAAAAAAAACATATGACTGCTAGTATTTTCCCTTAAAAAGAGACTATTTTCAAGACTATGTAGAATTACAATTCCCATGGAAATATAAAAATAAGCATGTTAAAAGTTTTATTTAAGTGTCCCCCCCCATTCAGCAGCATACACACTAAAATTGGAACAATACAGAAAAGATTAGTTTGGCAAGGATGACATGCAATTTCAATTCATAAAGTGTTCCATATTTTTGTATGTTTAAATTAGAGTACTCAGTTTTCAGAAAACTTGTACTGGGCTAGGATTTCACTGCTAGAGAGGGGAGATACACTAAGCTTGTTAAGAAATCAGAATAGGAATTAATGGATGAAGAAGAGTTACATTGGACAGGTGATAAGAGGACAGAGTAGAAGAGGGACCGTGAGGGAGAATAACAAACGCTAAAATCTTTGAAAATGCTATATAGAAACCTACTACTATAGAAGCTTTCTGAAATATGTACATATATGTAAGAAAATGGATTTGAATGAAGTTATCCCACAATGAGAAACAATGTCTTTCTGAGATAACATAGATCATCTAATTAAAAAAAATGAGAGTATAGGTTATCTCTTTTCATAGTATAGAACAATGGAGAACAAACCTATAAACTGCTTATTATTCTCCTTGTTCTTCCTTATCCTCTATAAATTAATGGAAAGACTCTATTGCTGAGGAAACCACATACATGAAATATAGGACAAGGGGACAAAACCAAGCTAATCAGTACCAGCCCAGCACCATAGTGATGTAAGATTCTAGGCATGGAACCAGAATAGTACAGTGATCAGCTGTCTTACTTATCTGTAGATCCCAAGAACTACAATAACAACTGACCTGGAAACATATGCCCAATGATACACTAGTCCCATAAACATTGTGAAAGTATCCAATCACTTTCTGAGTAAACTTAAGGCCAAGTCTACAAACCAGAACTCTTCTTGGTACCTCTAAATGTTGAGAGTGAGTATAAGGCTGACATCAGAAAAAACACACAATAGATTACGTTGGGCTTTGTTTGATTGATTGGAAACTTTTTGTTTGTATTTTTTCATTGTTGTTATTTTTTAAAATAACTTATTAAGTAATTTTGGATAGTTTGAAACTTATCATGTAAACCAAGGTGTCACTGAATTTCTACAATCTTCCTGTCTCTATATTTGTTTGCTTGTTTATTGAGACAAGATCTGTTATGCAATCCTGGCTGGCCTGGAATTACCAATCCTCTTGTCTTTACCTCTTGTGAGATAGAATTATAAAGTGTGTCACTATGTCACAATTTTAACATTTTTTAAAAAACACTTTCTAATTTTCCCTTCATTGACATATCAATTTTTTTTCTTACCATATAATCAGGATCTGCCATGTGATAATGAATAAAAGCCTGCTACCTTTTGCCACTGTTTTTCTCTTGGACTTCATTATATTCTTGCCTCATCAAAAATGACCTTTTATGGATCTCTCAGTGAACTTTTATTTTGAGAAATATCTAATAAATTCTTTATTGGTAAAGTATGACTTATTTATTGTTATATAATTCCCTTTTCAACAAAACTTTTATTTTTTTAATTCTTTAAAACAAAAACTAAGAGCAAGCAAAATTTCAAGTAATTAGGTGCTGTGGGAGCTATAGACTTTCTCTAAAGATCCAACAAATGACCCAACTCATTGGGACAACCTTTGATGGCTGTAAACTGTACTGGTTATAAACTTGTCCTATTATTTGTCTTATTCTTTTTAAAATTTTAACACAGGAAGTAAAAAAAAACTTTAATTAAAGTTAAAGTTAGTTAGGTTCAGTTTAATGGAGATTTTAGTCTAATACAATACACGTAATATGGTGACTTTCAGCTGTGAAAAAATTGACTAATCAGTTTTTAGGCTGCAATCTCAACTTAATGATCTATTTGAATGAGGCACACTCATGGAACTTAAAATGTGTTGTTTAGAAAGAGCAACTGATAGTGAAAATTATGTTCCCTACATCATTCTGTCAAGAAGCAATAAAGCTTTTGTTATATTAAAACTGGAAAATTTCAGGAGTCTGATTTAGATTACTGAGCCCAAGGCCTTCCTCAGCTCCAAGGCAAGTTAAAAGCTCAGTCTAAACAACAGAGAAAGACCTTATCTCAAAGAAAATGTTTCATTTATTCTGCTATTAAATTTTAAAGTAGAGTTGAGCATGAAGACTCCTGAAATCTCAGCACTCTCACTATGATGAGGCAGAAGAATCATGAGTAGCATGGGCTACAGAGGGAGCTTTTGCTTAGATAAAACCAAACAGACAAATTTTTTAAATTTATATGAAATATACTTTGAATCTAGACTAATGTTTATATTATACTTTATTTAGTCTGTGCATAAATTTTACATATCAAAAGACGTGCTGATTGATATCATAAAGAAGTAACATAAGCCAGACATGATAGAACATGTTCTCAGAGAAAGAGACAGGCAGATCTCTATGAGTTGAACCCAGCCTGGTATATATAATAAGATTCTCTCAAAACAAACAAATAAAAACTAATAAAAATTAAAATTAATTATTGTATTTATTTATTCTTTTAAGGCAGGTACTTACGAAGTAGTCCTAGCTGTCTTGGAACTTGCTATATAAACTTTTAGATATCTGTTTGCCTTTCTCCTGAATATTGGGATTAAAAGCCTACACCACCACACCTACCCTAAAGCCATCCTCTTTTATCTTAATCATTCCAAAATTATATTTTAGTTGATAGGATTTTAACTTTTTTTAATGACAAAAATCTGGGGTGGAACAATGTTTCAGTGGATCAGTGCTGCCCAGAATTCACCATCCAAGCATCCAACCATCCATAACTGCAGTTCCAGCAAATCCGACACCTTCTTCTGACCTCTACAAGTACCACGCAAATACGTGGTACACATATATACATGCAGGCAAGACACTGGTATCCATAGACTGATAAATGAAATCTAAAAATATTCTTTTATAAGATAAAACTCAGATGCGCATGTTGGCTCATCCCTTGAATCTCAACACTCAAGAGGCAGAGCCAGGAAGATCTCTGAGTACAAAGCAATCCTGGTCTACAAACTCTGAACAGCTGAACCTGCATAGTGAAACCCTGTCTCAAAAACAAACGAGCAAACAAATGCCAAAATCTAACTATGTAACTACATATATCACATACTTGTCAAAGTTTTCTTACAAATTATTAATTCTAAGAAATGTCAATAGATACAAAAGGTCATGGAATAAAATAAGTTTTGAGATCTTTGACTAATTTATTACTTACATTATTACATTCAAAGTACATTCATAAATCAAAATGTTTAAAATGTCCCACAATCTACACTAATTACATTATTTAATGAAGTATTTCCCAAATTTATTCAGAGCAGAGGAATCATTTATTTCTTGTGGGCATTTATTCCCTCATTTAAACATCATTCTATAGAAGACTTAGTGTTCCGATTTGTGGAAATTTCTGTGCTTGCTGTCAGCAGAGGTGAGAAAAGGGATTAAGCTTACTTGGCATTGGCATTAGAGAGAGTTGAGTGCCCTGTGAGTGCTGGGAATGGTTGGGTGGTTGGGTGATGAGCTCTGGACAACAAGTGCTGTGATCCTTTGAACCATCATTCCAGCCCAGATTTTTATTTTTAATAAAAGACAAAGTTATTCAATGTTCATTTTCTTTCATAAGCAGTATGTTTACTTCTCAATAAAAAATAACCACTATTCATAATCAAGATAACACAGGCCTCTAGATTACCCTTGAGATAACCTTTGATGGAAGAACGAGCAGTATTCTTAACTGCTGAACCAATACTCCAGCTCTTAGTGCTCATTTTAAACCAAGAGTTGCCTAGAACTTAGATATGAGAGGTGAGTCAATGTGTAAAGTATCTTGCCATCAATCCTGTGGACATGAGTTCCATCACCAAGGTCCAAAGGTAGGAGAAGAGAACACATTCCTATTGGTTGTCCTCTGACCCCTACTCTGTGTGTGTGTGTGTGTGTGTGTGTGTGTGTGTTCATCAGATTAATAAATAATTAGTTACAAATTTAAAAAGGTTAACTATAACTTGCTATCAACTCAGAGTATGCCCCCAGGAAAGGATCACCACCTATTTCTAAATACTGTATTGTCTTAGTCAAACAATCTGATTGTTTGCTTACTTGTAAAACTAGTCAAGAGTTCCCAGAATATTTGCATATATATATATATATATATATGTGTGTGTGTGTGTGTGTGTGTGTGTGTGTGTGTGTAAATATGTGGTAAATATGTATATACATATGCACATTTTAAATCTGTTATTTATTTTCTATTCTTCTTCTTCTCCTCCTTTTTTCTCTATTTTATGTGGGGACTCTGCACTCATAGTATGTGGGATTCAGAAGACAACTTTCAGGAGTCAGTTTACCCCCTTTGACCATGTGGGTTTTCAGAATATTTGAAATGTTAGTATTAATCTAATAATATACCCTAAATGATAGCTTATTTTCTTTCTCAAATTTCATCAACATCTCTAGAAATTGGTTATAACATAGACTAAGAGACCAACATTTTTTTTCACTGAAGAGTGAGGTTGTTTTTTTTTTTTTGGAACTAGTTGTTTTTATTATCTCTATCACAACCCTTCAGCTGCATTAAGAAAGAAACTACCAGTAGTACATCAGCAAATAACCATGGTTTCATTCCAATAGCATTTTGCTTATATAGAATATGCTGTGAGCCATATTGACTCACATGTTATAGAGCATGATAGAAATATATTAACTACTCTTGTTATCATCAAAGGTTATCTCAGTGGTTGTCCAGAGGCCTGTAATATCTTGATTATGAATACTGGTTATTTTTTTATTGAGAAGTAAACCTACTATTCATGAAATAGAAAATAAATATTAAATAACTTTTTATTTTATTGAAAATAGTTTTTTTCAAAGAATATGTTCTGAATTTGGTTCCCCACCTCTACCATTTGTCCATCCCCTCCCCACTTCCATTATGATCTACCCCTTTCTGTTTCTCTTAGAAAACAGTCATCTAAGGAATAATAATAAAATAAGATAAAACAAAACAAACAAACCACATAGAAAAAAACAAATAAGAAAAAAGGTCAGTGTAGAAGCATGAGAAATACACACCAAGCAGAGACACACACATATTTGTATACTCAAGAATCTCATAAAACCCAAAACAAGAAGCCATAACAAATATTCAAAT